GACATCATTTTTTGAGCACCTCCTTGCTTTTTGGCATAAAACATTTCAGGATCAGCTTTACCATGTCTACCTTAGCCCCAGAATCAGCCATTTCTCCAAGAAGCCCTCGTTTCTTTTTTGGAGAACAGTCTTTAGAAATTCTCCAAGCAAGTGCTGCCACCATCAATGTTATAAACTTCAGGGGGCTCTTCTCTCCCCTACCCAATTCCAACCTCAAACTAGGACCTTGGTCCTACCTTTAATTACTATACACCAGCTAAATCTTGACTGACACATTTAATAAGGTTTTACCAGAGTTTGGGGGATACATAAAGGGGAAATACTGTAAAAAAGAAAAAAAAAGGAAATACTGTATGCTAACATGCCCCAAGTTCTCCTGGGGTTTCCTAGCATTGCCTCCCTACCTAGCCTTTGATGTGCCTGTTGCTTAGCAAAGAACATCTTTCCTTTTTTTAAAAAAAATACTTTTGTAGAGATGGGGTCTTGCTATGTTGCCCAGGCTGGTCTCAAACTCCTGGCTCAAGCAATTCTCCCAGCTCAGCCTCCCAACGTGCTAGGATTACAGGCATGAGCCACTGCACTCAGCCTTATCTTTCCTCTTAAAATTGTGAGTACCCTGGGTTGTAGGGCAGTGGTTCACATCTTTGGTTGTACATTGAAATCACCTGGAGAGCTTTTGGAACTACTGGACCCACCACCAGAGATTTTGAATTAATTCATGAATATTGGCTATTCTAGTTCTCAACCCTGGTTATACATTAGAATCACATAGGGTTTTTTTTTTTTTTAAAGAATTGGATGTCCAACTATTAGGTTAAAGGTTGAAAAGAAACTTTATGAATGGATCAAGCTTGTCTTAGTCAGTTTTCTGTTGCTTATAGCAGAATACCTGAAACTGGGTAATTTATTTAAAAAAGGAATTTATTTCTTACAGTTGTGGAGAAGTCCAAGGTTGAGAGGCAACATCTGGTGAGGGCTTTCTTGGTGGGGTCTCTCTGCAGAGTCCTGAGGTGGCACAGTGCACCATACGGTAAGGGAGTTGATCATGCTAGCTCAGGTCTCTTCCTCTTCTCATAAAGCCACCAGTCCTATTCCCATGATAGCCCATTAATCCATTAACTTGTGAATGGATTAATCCATTCATGAGGGCAGAGCCCTCCTGACCTAATCACCTCTTAAAGGCCTCACCTGTCAATACTGCCACATCGGCGATTAAATTTCAACATGAGTTTTGGAAGGAATAAATATTCAAACTATAGCATTCTGTCCCTGCCCCCAACACCCAACTCATTTCCTTCTCACATACATTCATTCCAACCTCATAGCTCCAAAGTCTTAACTTGTTCCTGCACCAACTGAAAAGTCCAAAGTCTAGAGCCTCATCTGTGAGCCTGTAAAATCAAAACGAGTTATCTAAGATACAATGGTGGCATAGGCACAAGACAGACATTCTCATTCCAAAAGGGAGAAAAAGCCAAAAGAAAGGAGTAACAGGCCCCAAGTAAGTCTGAAACCCAAGGGCAGACATTAAGTCTTAAAGCTAGACAATAATCTCTCTTTTGACTCCTTGCGCTGCCTCCTGGACACACTGGGCCAGGGGTTGGGCCAAGGTCTCAAGCAGCCCTACCCCCTGCACCATGCTTTGCTTGGTGCAGCCCATCTGGAATATGGTGCCTGAAACTTTCTCAGGTGGGCACTGCATGCTGCCAGTGGTTCTACAGTTCTGGGGTCCTGGTGGTGGTTCTACTCCCATGGCTCCACCTGGCATTGTCCTAGTGGGGACTCTCTGTGGTGACCTTGCTTCCACAGCTCCACTCTGCATTGCCCTGTTGGGGACTCTGTAGCAGTACCAATCCCACATTTCTTTTTTTTTTTTTTTTTAATTTTTTTTAATATGGAACGCTTCACGAATTTGCATGTCACCCTTGCACAGGGGCCATGGTAATCTTGTCTGTATTGTTCCAATTTTAGTGTATGTGCTGCCAAAGCGAGCACCCAACCCCACATTCCTGTTCAGCATTGCTCTAGTTGGGGACTCTCTGTGGCGGCTCCACCCGTGCAGCAAGTCTCTGCCTGGACCCCCAGGCTTTCCACAACATCCTTTGAAATCTGAGTAGAGACTGCCAAGCTTCCACAGCTGTTGCTTTCTGCAAGCCTGCAGAATTAGCACCACGTGGCTGCCACAAAGGTTTACTACGTGTACCTTCTAGAGCTTCAAATCAACATTTGCCGAGAAGCAGCAGGAGGGAAGAGGTCTAGTCCCTCTGACTCCACACTCATATTTTGGTCTTGGTCTTTCATTAGAAGACATGCTTCATAATATTTTGGGGAAGAGAGAGAGAGAGAGAGAGAGAGAGAGAGAGACCACATTCACATTGCTATTGTAGTATATTGTTCTAATTGTTCTATTTTGAGTTATTGTTGATCTCTTACTGTGCCCAATTTGTAAATTAAACTATTATAGGTAGGTATGTATAGGAAAAACATAATATAGATAAAGTTTCGTATTATCTGTGGCATTAGGCATCCACTGGGGGTCCTGGAACATACCTTGTGGATAAGGGGGGACTAGTATAGTCATTATTAGTGGTTCTCAAACTTGTGTGAATATGAGAACCACCTGGCGGGCTCCTTATAAAGATTACTGTGCTCTACATGGAGTTTCTGATTCAGTAGGCAAGGGCCAAGAATTTGTATTTTTAGGGTCCCAGGGGGTTCTGATGCTTTTGGCCCAGGATCTCCACTTTGAGAACCACTGATCTATAAAAAGAAAATTAGAGACAACACTCTCATTCATATAACTGTATTTATTGTGCCCTTAATATGCCAGGTACTTTTCAGGGTACTGAGGATACAGTGGTGGATAAAACAAATTCCCTGCCTTCAAGATTCCCACCTCCAGATACTAAGACATATTAAAATTTAGAGTAATTAAAACAGTATACTTTGGTACAAGAAGAGATATAGTAATGATATAAATTAGGGGAAAAAAACCCTTGGCTTACGTAACAAGTAAGTATACATTAAAAACTATTGCAGCATGGCTTCAGGACTAGTTTGAGTAATTCAGAAAGAGCCTATTTTAAGGCTCCCTAGCCCACCCACATACGTCACTTTTGAGTATTATTCACACTGGGTACTTAAAATCGGGAAAACATAGATGTGGCACCAAATTTATGACAAGATGATCTGAAATTCCTAATTTCAGGTGGATATGGCTGGTGAAGGATGGGATCTTAACAAGCCCCCAGTTTTGGTTGACTTTTACTAATGAGGAAAATTGTTAGGATTAAGCAGGGTCTGGAGGAATCATCTGGAAAGGCTCAGATGTTATAGTGCTTCCCTTCCTTCCCTACCCCAACGCTTGGCGAAATCTCTCATTCAGATGGCCTTTCAAATGAGTAAGAAACAGATATGGTTCTAGGATGATTGATTATTCGAGAAAAAAGTATACCAAAATAAATTCCAGATGGAATAAAGTTTAAAATGTAAGAAATAAAAACAAAGAACAAGAGAATATAGGTGATGCTTTATCTGATACAGAGGTTGGGAAACAGAACAAAAATAACTGATTACATTTCTAACTTACAAGTTAGAAAAATATGACTATACTAATGGAAAATGAACAAGTTAATTTAGAAAAGAAATATAAATGGTCTCTTAACATTTGAAAAACAGTTTAGCTTCCCTGGTAGATCAAAGAAAATGCCAGCTAAATTTAACCATTCAACACCATTTTCAATACATCAAATTGACAAAAATTAAAGGCCTGGTGCCATCCCAAGGCTGGCGCACTGTTATCATGGATGAGGTGAAGTAGACTCTTATAGATGGTAAATGAATAAAATGCTAAAAACCTCTCTAGAAAACAATTTGAAAGTAAACATCAAGAGCTTTAAAAATATTCAAATACTTTGATCCAGTAATTCTGCTTCCAGCAATTCATTCTAAGGAAATCATCAGAAATACACTCAGACATGTATATACAAGCATGTTTGACCAGTTATTTATCACTTAGGACTGCAGTTGGCAGAGAGAAAGCTGACAAGAGGCTTAAATAAGCATAGTGTTTATTCTTCTCATGTCTCAAGGGGTTCAGAGGTCAGCAGTCTGAGGCTGGTACAGCAGGTCAAGGCATGCGATCAAGGATCCAAGCTCCTTGAGTCTTTCCACTTAAACCACCCAAAGCAAGTGGCTGCCTTCCTTAGGCCTAAAAATGGCTGTGGTCCTCAGGTTTCATGTCTACATTCCAAGCAGAATGAAGACTTCATGCTTGCCAAGTCTGTCCTTTTCCATCAAAAAACTCAGCAGCTTTATTAAGCAGAATTCCACTTGCTAACTCTTAACTTGCCAGAGCTGAGTCATATGGCCACCCTTAGCAGGAGCTGGGGAGATATTTTTAACTAGACACATTATTATCTCCCCCACCCAAAGTGGGGTTCTCCTAATGAGGGAGACACAACAGGGGATCTGTTTAATTATAAAATTCTCTGCAGCTAAGAATGTCAGGTTTTTGAAATTTACTGACCTGGAAAAATGTTCACAATGTAATGTCAAGTGAGAAGCAGGACAGAGAACATATACAATTTTATTTATACAATTTTGTTTATACAAACAAAATGTATTTTGCTTAAAAAAATATAATTTACATACACACCCACACACAGGAAATAACAAAATGGTAATAGTAGTTAACTTTTACCAAGTTGGCATTTCAAGTCAGAGAGGTATTGATGGACAGATGTAGTTTATTTTATTAAACTTTTTCCTGTATTTTCTAAATCTTCTATAATGAACTCCTTATAATAGGA